TTTTATCTTAATTTCCTCCGCAAATAATTTATAAAAATATGTACTACAACAAAAACCATAAAAATAAAAATGTTTAAACTTTGTGCAAATCTCATTAAAATTCAATAAAGTTGCATACGAATTTGCAAGTTACTAATAAGATTTTTTGGAAATCAGAATTTTTTTGAAAATGCAGTTTTGTATCCCATTAAATTTTAGTATAACAAAGTGCTAATTTAAAGTTGCTAAAAAATCGCGTTGGTTTTTTGGCAATTTTTTTTTTGCTGACGGTGTTATTATTTTTTCCATAGAAAAAAATTTTCGAACATACTTTGTATGGAAAAAACTGTAGTATAAACTATATTTATATATTAGCGGGAAAAAAATCTGAATACAAAATTATGTATATATTGCGAAAAATTATATGTACCAATACTTTCTTCCAGCAGTGTACATATTCAAAAATGTTGATCAAAGTTAATCTAAAAAAATGGCATAAAAATAGAATACACCTTACTACTTTAATCAGCATTGTGTGTGCCATTCTCGGCCTTTACATATGTACATATAACACATAAAGTATTCCTTCCGCTTTATGGCGCAGAGACATCTTCAAAAATGGCACCAAGAGTCAAATGAAACAGAGCATTAAAAAAGGGTTCCAACAAGGCCAAAATCAATGTATCCGTTAACGATAGACAGGCAAGCCCAAATTGTCTTACAAAAATCCTTTAGGAATCAGGGGTGTACGGCGAACCCTTTTTTCTGGTACGGGTCTAATGTGCACTTAGCCCTTGGGTCCATTGTGCTCTCAGAAGCCATCACAAAACCTTGTCTAGCCCTAAAGCTCTAATGAAACCTATCAGTTTCAGAGCGGCAGAGAGTGAATGTGCGTAGCCTCCGGTCACTGCTCTCCCAGATGTTATTATCTTCTTCTGGTGGTGGTGAAGTAGCGACAGCTGTCGCCTGCGCTAATTCCCATAAATGTTAATGTGGACTCGCAGCCTGCAATGACCCGTCACTAGGCATGGAAATTAAAATAAATTTATACCATAAAACGCCATTTGAAAAGGAACTTATAGTCTTAAGTTCGTGTTCTCACAAACTTTTGCCATTGCCCAGTGACAGGCTAGCATAATGCCGAGTTTCCACTAAGCATCAAATTGGCAATAGCCTAAATAACATTGAGGTTGTTCACACTTGCTTGGTTATCAGGTTATCTGGTTAAAAATTATTATTGTGTGGTGTATTTTATTGTTGTAAACTCATTATTTATAACGTAATAACAAAAGTACATACATATTAATGGCCAACTTATGACGGATTTCCACTAGGCATTGATGGTCAAAAACAAAACTCTATGAAAAATTTGGGCATTAAAAAATCGGCCTCATTCGTTCAAAATAAGTCTGTTTCCACAAGCCATTTTTTAGTGGTACGACATTTTTCGTAATTTTTTGTCATGTAAATGCCTAGTGGGAATTCGGCATTAGTCATTAAAACTTTTGTGATGTATAGTCAATGCCCAGTGGAAATTTGACATAATGCCGAAATGACATTTTCTACCATTAAAAAATGGCATGTGGAAACAGACTTAAGGATTTTTATTTTTAACGCAGTGACACCGGTTTTTTTATAGGCACACATTTTTCATTGAAATTGTTTGTAATTTAATGCCTAGTGGGAATCCAGCATAAGTCATGAATCATCGGCGATGTGCCGGGTGTCAGCTTGATATCCGGAATCCGGCTTATCCGGCCGTTTTCCTGTTATCCGACTATCCGGCAATTAAAAACTCTAGTTCAGAAATTTTTTTTTGTATTTTTAAAATCCAATTTAATGTTAGATACCATTAGTAATTAAATTAAACAATTTTAATATTTTTAATTATGAAAAGAAGAATTTCCGAATTATCGGGTAAAAATCTATTTTTATTTTCAACATAAATGCTACCCGATGCACTAGACACACCTTCTGAGTTCACTGAGGAAGGTGGTGCGCAGAGATACTTCGCCGCCAGTATAAACAAATAAAAGACAATGAAATGCAATCCTGCGCAACACTTGTGATCGACAGTAAAATGCAACCCTAACGAATGGTAATCGGCAACCTGATAAGCAGAAGGCAGTTGGCGTAATTACTCGGTGTTGAGCGGAGCGTAGTAGCTCTTTAGAACTAATCTTAAACTTTCTTTAAAATTCTTTACATACTATAATTAAAACTTTACAATGAAATATTAAAAGAAGATTGCATTGAAAGAGGTGTTGTTTTAATTTGTTAGCAATTTTTCTGGGTATACGGATTAGCTGTAAATATATCTCCATTTCTAAATCGCTGCCTTTTTTCTTGTACTGTCTTGTGTACTCATCATTTTCCTATCCACATCATTGCCAAATATCCTGGTTAGCTAGCTCCCTCTTCAAAGAAGCTTTTACCCAGTTTTTTGTTTTATTAATGTCAGAAAAAACGAGTTTTGAAACGTAGGTCACAAAATATTGCAACAACGGGACGATATGTATGTAAGCATGCATAATAGTACGATTTGATTTCCCCTCCAATAATTTTTTTTATACCCGAGCGTTCTTGTGCACAAGGGTATTATAACTTTTTTCACATAACGGTTGTTTGTAACAAGCAAAACGAATCGAAATTGATATAGACAAATGTATACATAAATGATCAGAATGAACAGAGAAATCGATTAAGCGGTGACTGTCTGTCCGTCCGTCCATTCGTCCATCCGTCCATCCGTCCGTCCATCCGTCCGTCCGTCTGTGCACACGATAACTCGAGTAAAAATTTAAATATCTTAACGTGTACTTCTTTCGAGCGTAGGACGGATGATATTGAAAATGGGCAAAATCGGACCTCTGTCGATAAGACCTTGTAACCTATGCTTAGAAGGCTGATCCCGCGATAGTTGGCGCGAATGGCGGGGTCACCTTTTTTGTGGATTGGGCAGAGCACACTTAAATTCCAGTCGTCGGGCATGCGTTCATCTGACCATATTCTGCACAAGAGTTGATGCATGCACCTTATCAACTCCTCGCCGCCGTACTTGAATAGCTCAGCTGGCAGGCTGTCAGCTCCAGCGGCTTTGTTGTTTTTCAGCCGCGTTATTGCTATACGTACCTCGTCATAGTCAGGCGGTGGAACGTCGACTCCGTCATCATCGACTGCGGGCTCGGGTTCTTCTTCTCCACAACTTTCCGTACGCCCCGGTCTTTAAACCTTCCGTAAGGCGCCTAACTCTCTGGTAAAATTTTCGGGCATTCCTCCTGACGGCCAGCATTTCAAGCTCTTCGCACTCACGTATTTCGGCCTCTCTCTCTTCTTATTGCGGCAAATACGTCTCGCTTCCCTCTTCAGATCCCTATAGCGGTCCCACATAGCGCGCGTTGCGCCCGATCGCAGCGTGGCCGTATTTTATAGCTCAGCTCGGAAAAGCAGATAATCTGGTCATAAGTATGTCGCTTAGGGCTGTGCGATTATTCGATTACTCGAGCAAGTTGGTTAATCAAATATTCGGTTAATCAATTACTCGAGTAATCAAGATTTTGATTACTCAAAACGATGATTAATCGAGTTACTTGAAATATGATTACTCAAAAATATAATTTTGCTCGCTAAAAGAGTTTACTTTGGAAAAATAAAAAATGAGGACATAGAAAAAGGTACCAATGCAAGCACTTTTACCTGGCGTTGTCTTTTCTTTTTTAATGCCAAAATTAAAACGTCCATTAATTGCAGTGACCTGATTTCAAAAAGAATTGCAATCAATAATGGTAAATATTTTCTTAAAATATTCATTTTCCTTTGATTTATAATAGTTTATTCGGCGCCAATTTTCAGCGGTTGTCAAAATTTTACTGCTGTCAAAAAAGATTTCATTTCACACAGCAGATTCGAAAAATTGTCTCACCATAGTAAAAATAAAATTCACCAGCTTTCCCAATAGCACTTTGCTACCGATTCACACACGCTCTCTGTATATGAAAAAATTTTTCGTTTTAATTTTTGAAAACAGAAACGTTGTTTTCAAAGTATCAAGGAACTTTAACTACTTTATACATATGTAAAGAGTTGAAATGTTGATTACTCATTTTACTCGAAATGTTGATCAATCATAAAGCAAATTACTCAAATATTTTTGTTTTTGGTTAATCAAAAATCTTGACTACTCGAGTAACTGAACTTTTGAGTAATCATGATTTCCAATTAATCGAATAATTGAGTTATTTACTTTATGATTAATTAAAATTTTGAGTAATCAATTAATCGCACAGCCCTAATGTCGCTTAACAAAAAAAAAAACACAATATTGTGAAATTTATAAAGGGCAGCAATCTACCGGATATCCATCCGAGTCAGGCTTTTATTTTTAAAATCTCCATCCGGCACATCGCTACTTGTTACCATTTTTTATGAATTATCATTTCGTATATTAATAAAAAAAATTAATATAGTTCACTTTATAACAAAAACCATGCAAATAAAAGTTGTAAACTTTGTGCAAAATTTAGAAAAATTTAACAAATTTTCATGAATATTTCCAACCTTTTAATATAAATTTTTATGAAATGATGTGCAAGTTCGAAGTGGCCTAAAATTCTTAATGACTTTTTCATTTTTTTTCTGACGGTCATGCGCTGTTTTTTCCATATAACGAATAATTTTTTTAAGGGGAAATTTTTATGAAAATTGTATATCTATAATTTTTAAATTTTTAACAAAGTTTCAAATTTTGATTTATTTAATAATATATTTAATTTACAATATTCTACCTCACTTAAAACAAATAGTGGTGGCAAGTTATGTGTGACCGCCAGTGTAAATGCCGGTGTTATTACGTGAAAAATATCAGTCACTAAATTTGTGTCCTCATGCCAGTTTTGAAATGGTACACATTTATTATATTTTTTTTTCATTTTTATCCCTTCAATGACCAGAGGAAATTTGGCATTACTCGTTTATCTTTTCTTGTTTTTTAATAATAAGTCAAAATAAATTGTTAATAAAACATACGTACATTCCAGTCGATTGTTGCAACGAATGGTGCTGTCTATTATACAACAACACCACCAGCCCCGATTAGTAATATGCCCATTGATCAATTCGCCGCCACGGTCTATCCGCCAGGTAACTCGCAATTTATTTTATTTGAAATATGAAAACAACATTTAGCAGATCAGTTATAATAAGCATAACCTCTTAACAAACAGTTACTGATTTTACAGCAGCAGGCGTGCCAACAATTTACCCACCTTCAATGCAATATCAACCATTTTATCAGTACTATAGCGTGCCAATGGTCAGTGCGGCGGTAAGTTGACGAAATTCATTTTAGTATGTACATTAGTGTGGTCCAAAAATGTATGGGAGAAAAGTAAAATCGGAAATTTAATGCTCTCACCCCCTAGGATTGTTCTATACCGAAAAAAAGTATACCCCTGTTTTTTATTTTAAAATCAAAATATATTTAAAGGTCGCTCAAAGCGCTCAAAGTTTTCCATGTATTTTGTATGGGGGAAAAAATACTTTTCGTAGATACGGCATAGAATCCATGAAAATCAAAATTTTTCAATCTGAAAACTCTGCTTCTCTTCAGAGGACTTCAGAGAATAATGCCCAATTGTTTATTTAAACATTTTTTAATTTTNTGAGTATTTCATTTTTTTGGGGATTTTTCGGAGATCCTTAAAAAATAGTTTCCATGGATTCTATGCCATTTCTACGAAAAGTCTTTTTTTCCCCATACAAAATACATGGGAAACTTTGAGCGCTTTGAGCGACCTCTAAATATATTTTGATTTTAAAATAAAAAAACAGGGGTATACTTTTTTTCGGTATAGAACAATCCTAGGGGGTGAAAGCATTGAATTTCCGACTTAACTTTTTTTTTGGACCACCCTAATGTACATATATGTATGTGTAATAATAATATAAAATTAATCGAATTAAAATGAAAATTTTAAATTCTGTTTTACATGTACGCTATTGCTATTGCCGTTGGAAAATACTAAATTCGCACACACGAAATCTATAGAATGTACCCGCCATTTGGCCACAAAACTATCAAGGTAATTAAAAAAAGGATGTGCATTTGCATCTTGCTTTCTTAGTTGCAATATACATATGTATGTACAGAAGTATGTACATATGTAATTGTATACAACATACAACATTTTGAAACAACTATATTTGCCACGCCTCTACAACAGCAGCAGTATAGACATACATACATAGATAGATAGAATAGTTTAATTAATATGTATGTATATTTATGTTTAATATTTATTTTCGCATCTTATGGAAAATTTTAGTTCAAAATTTTATTACTTTCGTTTGCACGTTAACGGTTTTATTTATATTGTGTATATGATTTTTTTTTAGTCAATGATTTCTTAAAATTCTTATACAAAAACACGACGAGCACACATTTTACTACTTTTCTCACAGGTATTTTATAGTGCTATGTATGAGTATATACAAGTTTAAACATAACTTCTGCAGGGACAAAAATAATAGTTATTTTAATTTTTCGAATGTGAAAAAACTAACGTTTTTGCTTTATAATAATTTCTTGAGATGTTTTTTTTCTCAAACCATATTTGATTGTTCGCTTTAGACTTTTGGTTGTTTTTGCGATCAAGCTGGATCGTTTATACAGGCCGACAAGAAATTCGACAACCTCATGCGTGTCCCAAGGAATATCGAATAGCAAATTCTTAGCGGATTTTGCGCGTAGAACCGTAATTTTCAAAATTTCAAATTCAAAATACATAATTTGCTCTAATCATTGAAAAAATTTATCAGCCAAAGAAAAACTAGCTCCTATGAAGCTAAATGATGTAATAATGGGGCATTTAAAAACTGTTACAACAACAACATGTAAGAATCCAATTTTAGATCTGGAATTTAAAAAGTATTGCCTAAGCTTTCATTGTATTCAAAAATGCGTTTTTAGGCTTTTTAATTACTTAATTTCCGGCCAAAAAGTGTAGCGAAATAAGCATTTTCGGCGCAATTTCAGTTCAAAAATTTAGTGGCATTTAAATTAATTTAATTATTCGTATTTAAAAGCAAGCCGGTTTGCATTGGCGATTTCTAAATAAATATCAATCGTTTTGCAGTTGCAATAAACATTTTTTTTTTGTGTTACGCAGAGATTCCTGTTTGTGGCATTTGACCATCATTTCGAATATGTAGTCAAAATATCAAAAAGTAGAGCAGTTTTTGAGGTAAAACCTTATTTCCGTTTTTGAGATTTGAAAAAAAAATACACTCGCTCAATTAACTGCAAATTTTTTCGGGTATAGTTGGCAAGTCGCAACATTTCTTTTTACATTGCGAGACGCTTATTAATTGGCTATCTATGCCGATATCATTTTCCAACCCCCTGATTAGTAGTTTAGGTGTGTGCTATACATTTTCGGTACATACATCAACATGAAAAAATTTGTTTACTTTCGGTTTCTTTCGGTTTCAAAGTAAATTTTTTAAGACTTTTTTTGTATATGTGACCTGGTCTACGGAAAGGGGTCAAAAAATCAATTTTCACTTTTTGGTTGATTCGGATGGAAGATGAGATGCTTTTTCACGTGGTGAAAAGCAGAAAATCCTAACTTGCTTAGAAGTGTACTAAAAATGTAGAGAAAGAAGAGTAAAAATACGACAAAATATAATTTATTGGTAATGAACAAAATACANTATGATAGTACAGTGTTATTCTTATTCTGCCCAACACAATTGTCACAGAAAAGAACGAGTGTTTCAATGTCTTTATAGTAGGTTTGCAGGTGATAATGCAGGATGCTCAGAACACAGTTAGGTCCTTTACCAATGTCATCTTTTTCGTCTATCATGTAATTGTACTGTAAGAAAAGAAATATAAGTAAGATCCTGTTTTGAGTTCCTATGATTCAGTTTGAAATTCTAACCTGAACTTTTTGTTT